CACTGCCAGGCCAAAGCCAGGAGGGGAGTTGGGTTTCATGGACAAATATTTCTTTTTCACTCCTTTTCTTATAAAACTATCCCCAACCTGTCCAAATTGTCTGGAAGCCATTCGTGTGTCAACAGCAGGCAGTTTTACGGGGATGGCGGGAGCACATTCCCTGCTTGGACTCTGGGCTCCGTGCGGAAAATGAGCTGCTGCTAATGAAGCCCAGCTGAGAGCCCCCGAGGCCTCCCTGAAAGTTTTATATTTCAGACCAGGCTTCTGCTCTGGTGCAAAGAGTGGGTGCGGGTAAATGGTTAACAGCCGATTCTCCAGAGGGGAAAAACCCGGAATCGTAGCATTTGCCAATTTCCATGGTGTAAGTATTCTCACCACGGCCAAGATCAAGGTACTGACACAGTATCAGTGATTGCAGAGTTGGTAAGAGACGCAGAGCACGTGTGAGCCCGCTCCAGGACACCACTGGGTCCAGATTTATGTGTCAGATGCACCCTTTACATCTTTACCTCGAGGCAAGACGAGCATCTCAAAACAGCATGTGCAGAACTGGACTAATGACCTCTCTGCCCCACACCCAGCTGGCTTTCTGCCAGGGTTTCCTCTCTGAGTGCGTGCACAGCACCACATGCAAGTCAGACCCCAGACATCACAAGTCACCCTTTACGTCTCCCTCCTTCCTCACCACCACATCCAAGCCATCACCAAGACCTGCTAATTTCACTTACTAAATATTCACAATCTGATTACCTCCCCCCAGCCCCTGTCATCACTATTGATTGCCTGCATTATTGCAAAAGGCCAAGTGGTTTTCCTGTATCCACTCGTACCCACACATACACTCAACCCATTTCCTAGTATTGAGAGAGAGAGATCCCTGAAAAAATGCAAATCTGAGAACATTATTCCTTTGCTTAAAGCCTTCGATGACCTCCGATGGCTCAGGATAATAATCAGAATCCTTAGGGTGGCCTGAAGGGACATGGGTCTCCTGCTGCCCCTTCAGCCTTAATCCCGTGCTGCTCTGGTCCTGTGCCCCTTGCTCCTGCCTTGGCCATGCTGCGTGTCCTTCAGGTCCTCAAACACACCAAGTCCTTTTCCGATTCAGATCTTTGTACAAAGTGTTCTCTCTGCCTGGAGTCACTTGGTCTGACCAACTCCCCATTCTTCAGTCTCAGCTAAAGTTTTTTAGAAAGGTCGTCTCAAACCTCCCTCTGCTTTTATCTTCCACAACGTCCTGCTCTTGGTTTGCTGTCCCATCAGCAGTGTAGGAAAGTCCTAGTTGCCTCATATCCAAGCCAACACTTGGTATTATCAAGCTTCAAGATTTTTGACAACCTGGTATAGTGGCATCTCGTTGTGATTTTAGTTTGCATTTCCTAGGTTACTAATAAATTTGGGCATTTAAAATGTTTATTGCCCATTTAAATTTTCTGTTGTGTGCAATGCCTGTTCAAGTTGGTAGCCCATTTTTCTATTGGGCCGTCTTATTCTTATTAATTATTAGTAGGAACACTTTACATATGATGGATACCAAAGTTTGTGAGTTACATGTATTGCTAGTATCTTCTTCCATTATTTGCCTTGTTTTCTCTTTTAAAGATGTCTTTTAACAAAAATAAATTTCAAAATTTAGGGTTATCAAGTGTTTTTTCTTTTAATTTCTAGTACTTTTTGTATTCTTTAGAATTTCTGCTTGTAAGGGCCTGTTGAGCTGAACTCTGTCAGGTTTTGTTCTTCTAAAGGTAAATTATTTTCTCTTCATTCTTGGAAAATTAATTTGACTAGGTATAGAATTTCAGGAGGATCATAATTTCCTTTCAGTATATTGAAAAAAAAAAGTCCACTCTTTTGTGGCTTTCATCATTGCTGGTAAGAAGTCAGCCTTCAATATAATTCCTTCCTTTTGAAGGTTTCTGACTCGTATTTAAAATCTTTGTTTTTGATGTTCTTCAGTTTTGTTATGATGTATCTACTTTGGGATTTCCTTATTTATCCTGCAGGGAATTGACTGGGCTTCCTTAATCTGAGGGTTTGAGTCTTTCAACAAGTCTGGAAATTTCTCATTCATTCTCTCTCTTTTTTTTTTTTAATTGGACTATAATTGCTTTACAATGTTGCATTAGTTTCTGCTGTACAGCGAAGTGAATCAGCTGTATGAATACATATAACCCCTCGCTCTTGGACCTCCCTCTCACCCTCCCTAGCCCACCCATCTAGGTCGTCACAGAGCACCAAGCTGAGCTCCCTGTGCTGTATAGCAGGTTCCCACTAGCTATCTATTTTATACATGGTAATGTATTTATGTCAAACCTAATCTCCCAATTCATCCCACCCTCCCCTTCCCACCCCGTGTCCACACATCTGTTCTCTATGTCTGCATCTCTATTCCTGCCCTGGAAATACGTTCATCTGTACTATTTTTCTAGATTCCACATATATGCGTTAATATACGATATTTGTTTTTCTTTTTCTGTCTTCACTCTGTATGACAGTCTCTAGGTCCATCCACGTCTCTGCAAATGGCACTATTTCGTTCCTTTTTTATGGCCGAGTAATATCCCATTGTGTATATGTACCACATCTTCTTTATCCGTTCATCTGGTGTTGGACACTTAGGTTGTTTCCATGTCCTGGCTGTTGTAAATAGTGCTGCAATGACCATTGGGGTACATGTGTCCTTTTGAATTATGGTTTTCTCAGGGTCTATGCCCAGTAGTGGGATTGCTGGGTCATATGGTGGTTCTATTTTTAGTTTTTTAAGGAACTTCCATACTCTTCTCCATAGTGGCTGTATCAGTTTACATTCCCACCAACAGTGCAAGAGGGTTCCCTTTTGTCCACACCCTCTCCAGCATTTATCGTTTGTAGATTTTTTTGATGATGGCCGTTCTGACTGGTGTGAGGTGATACCTCATTGTAGTTTTGATTTGCATTTCTCTAATAATTAGTGGTGTTGAGCATCTTTTCATGTGCCTCTTGGCCATCTGTATGTCTTCCTTGGATAAATGTTTAGGTCTCTTTTGAATATTGCTTCTTCCCCATTTATATCCCTTATCTCGTACTAAACTCTAATTAAACATAAATTACAACGTTTCATTCTCTCTTACATCTCTTTGTGTCTCTGGGTTGCATTTTGAATACTTTCTTCATATCTACCTTCTGGTTTCATAGTTTTTTGTTTGGTTGTGCTTAATCTGCTGTTTAACTTGTCTAATGACTTTTGAAACTTAATTATTATTATAATTTTCATTTCTAAAAGTTCTACTTTAAATTTGATTCTGTTTATAAACATGCTTGGTCATTTTAAAAGCTCTAAAAGATTAAAAAAGTTATTAAAATATTAAAATACTTATTTTTAATTTTTTGATAATTTGTATGTTTAAAATCTTTACCTGGGCTATTCTGGGTGGGTATATGTCTCTGTACCTATCTATCTATCTATCCACCTATTATCTATCTATCTACCTACCTATCTATCTCTACGACGCAGAGATATGCCACCATATTCTTCTTCAAGGGAAGAGTTGATGCCCAGCTGTGTGGAGGCACGAGATCAGCAGGCAGCCTCCATCTGCAAAGTGCCGCCTCGCCTGTGCCATGCCCTGCCCACAGCAGCCTGGATCTGGAAGCTGCGTGAGGGTGTCAAGCCTGGTGCAGGATGACTCTGATGGACAGTATTCTCACTGGTGCTTTCTGCTGGGTTGACAGGGTTGTGTCGGAGCTACACTGAGTTCAACTTTCCTTCTGCTCAATCATGCTTTTTTTCCATCCCCTTCACAGTTACTGATCCTAAAAACATCTGTATTCCAAGTTCTGGCCTGGTGGCTGCTTTCAGAAAAACCCAATCCACAGTGTGTGCGGGTGTGTGAATGTGAGTGTGAGTGCGTGTGTGTGTGTGCGCATGTGCGTAGCCGCGTGTGTGAGTGTGTGTGGATGTGGGTTTGCGTGTTCTGCTGCTGCTTACTCATGGCACCCTGTTTTCTTCCTGTTGATGCTCCTGAAACTATCTGTTGGAATTCTGTGAGAGGTATTGAGAGTGGGCCTCTTTTGAGGATATAAGAGATTTCTGCTGTCGGTTGCCTGGGAGTATGACCGACTTGGGATGAATGTGAGTTAAATTGTCTGTGTTTTTCCAAACCACAGACGTAGTGTGTGTCGTCTGCAAGCCCCTGTCAGCGGGAATGCGGTCATGGGTTCCCCAGACAGGCTCGCTCCTCACTCCCCGTCTCCGAACTGGGCCTGTTCCCACTGACCCGGATTCTGAGGCTGTGGACATTCTGGACCCCACCTGTATGTAGTGTTTTCCTGCCTTGGGTGGGCTGAAGCCTTCACTTCCTGTTTTTCCTGCCACCATGGAGCTCTCCAGTGGAAATGGAAGGTCACAGAGTTCAGTGCATAGACTCAGGGTGAAGGCTGGTTTGGGTCTTGCTTCCTTTCCAGTGTTTCACTTTGAAACTGGAAACTCATGGTTCCGGGCGTCAAAGTGAGACAGACTTCTCACTTTATTGCCAAATGCTGATTCATAAAATTGTTACTTTCTTTTGGTTCATATTTATCCAGACTTCCTTTATTTTTCTTTTTTTGAAAGGGGGCTGAGTCATTTAGGGCTTCTGGTCCTCCACACTGATGGACACAAATGTCTGGAGTTATGTTTAAGTAGACGTAGGATATGATCCATCCGTCTCCAGCCCCTCCCCTCCCTGGAGCCTGGGGGATGGGACTGAAAGTTCAAGCATCTCATCATGGTTGGGCCTTTCTGGAGAGCAGCCCCACCCTGCAGCCATCTGGGAGCCACCAGGATTGGCCTCCTTAGAACAAGTGATGCTCCTGCCACCCAGGAAGTGCCAAGGGATTTAGGAGCTCTGTGTCGGGATCTGGGGGATGGGCAGAGACCAGTATGTTCTCTTGTTTCTCATCCCGCTTTCCCTATCTCTACACAATCTCCCCGTTTTAAGACTCCCTCTCCTTGATTTAAGTTTTGATGGTTGTTTTCTCAGCTGCCTCCCAGCCCTCTGACCTGATTGAGCATGTCTCTGTCTTCATCTTACTACATCTACGGAACACTTCTCAGAGTTGGTTATTTCCGAGCAGGACAAAACTGTTCCAGGAAGTGATCATTCCTGCTGATTCCATCCTCACAGGTTAGCAATCTTAACATTCGGGGCACATCTCACTATAGCAGGTGCAAGGAAATGGAAGACTGAGTAAAGCACTCGCTGGTGACGCTACAGTAGTCATCAAACGTGCGTGGGCATTGATCACCCAGGACGCAAGCGGACTTGTGAGAACACAGATATGGGGCCGTGCTCTCAGAGTTTCTTGTTCAGTTGGTCTGGGACAGAGCCGGAGAATTTGAATTTCTCCCAACCTCCCAGGGACCACTCTTAGAGAACTGCCAGGCTGATATGATGAGACAGGTGGTCACAAAGCTTCTCAGTAGTCAGCAGGTAGTGCTCAGCGTTAAGCAGTAAACTCAAAGTCAAGCTTAAAGCGAACTCTGTCCAAAGGAAGCCACTGTTTTGGGCTCCTCGATTTCTTTGAGGCACATTCTGCTCACTCGTTGCCATGTTGTGCATATTTAATCGTCTACACATGAAGGCAGACAGAGGAGGTGAGGGGATCTTGGACCCTAAAGGTGAGGAAAATGCCATCAGAACTGTGCCTTCCCAGCCTCCTGTACACAAAGGAAGATGAAGAATGGCTAAGGGGTTTCTGCTGGTGTCTCCATGTCAATATTATGGATTTTAATGGTTGATGAGAAAGAAGTGTTACAACGTTTCAGGGACCCAGATCAACCAAAGGCTTTAGATCTAAGTAAGACCGGATCTTACTTAGAACAAGAGCCAAAAAACTGAACTTGTACCAGATACAATACAGACAAGACATACCGGATAAGCACCATTTTGATATTGATGATAAAATATGAAGGTCATAAAAATGAAAACACACCAAAATTTCCAAAACCAATGACCAGGAGAATTTCTGAAGTAATGGACCAAGCATGGCTATAGCAAGGGACCTGGGTAAGTGACTTTGCTGCAATTTCCTTGGAAGCTGCCTAAATCTTGTCTTTGTTCTCAAAACTCACATCTGCAATCACGGCTAGTCTGAGAAGGTGACCCTAGCTTTTTTTTTTTAAGATGAGTGAAAATTGTACTCCAGAAAGAAATTAGAATACAAGTAAGAATAAAAATAGAAAAGCAAATTTAAATCCATAGAGTTAAACCTTTAGTAAACTAGCTTGGGTGTAAGTGCACTGATCTGTTTTATATTCATTGTAATATGGTGTCCCCTTGACGTGCTTAGAGCATCAGAAAGACTTATACCTATTAAATCTTCGGACGAGTCTGATTAATTTTTGTTACCGATCATTTGTTTAAATGTTGAGTCAAATTTGTTAACTTCATAACTTTATATTTAATAGAAATTTAATAATTTAGCTTTTTATTTAAGTTAGGCATATGACGAGGGTGTAAAATATTTAGAGAAGTGTTAAGTGTTTAAAAAAGAGTCAGTGGAGAACAAAGTACAAATGACGGTGAGCTTCTTTTCCTCTCCATATATAAAGGCTGCTCAGATATTGAATTTTTATCATAAAACAGATTGGCCAGTTGAAGAGACAACTAATCTCTTTTATAGAGCAAAGGGTATTATTTATTGGATATAGAGTATCCTACGGTCTGTATTTATCAAGAGATTCCTTTCTCAATTGATAAATTTTTGTTGATGTGATTAGTCCGCAGGTTCTCCCTGTCTGTTTTTCACATAGCTCACTGCTGAAGCTGCAATTCTTTTTTTTCAAAAAGAGCACTATTACTTATTATCTGTGAGCATTTTTCAATTCCACAAGAGAATAGATGAACTGCACAGTCTCTGTAATCTTGTAAAGGCATTTGGCCTGGAAGATGCTCCTTGGCTGTGTGCCAGTAACAGTGGCTCCAGGGACAATGTTTAGTTAGTCCAAAGTGAGCAACTTTAACTTTTACTGCTTAATTTCTGATCAGCTCTTCAGAATTGGCTCAACATTCAGTACCAGGATGAAGTTTATGAGAAGGAATTTCCATGTCCAAGGAAGAACCAAGACTGCAGAGAGGTTACAGTATGAAAACCGAAAAGGAAAAAAAAATCTATCCTAAACTGATTTTATTAACTGTTGATAATTATTTTAGAGTATTTAATACAGTCTCCTACTGTATCAACCTGTATCAGGAAGCTGAATTCACGCAATCCTTCTGGGAAGCCAGTTGGTGGCCCAAGCTGGCTCGAGGTTTGATGGGAAAAACCGCCAGAGGGCTGGTAATTCGCCCATTTCCCTCTTTTCTCCCTCTTTTTCTTCCCTTCCCGCTTTACCCACCTTCTCTTCGGGCTGTTGAAGATTTATTGCCTTTCAGTACTTACACATGATGTTTTCATAGGCTCTAATGAGGTCCCAGCAGTTTCTAACAATAACAGGACGTTCCCGTTCCTAAGATACATTACGTGTTTTCCCTAATCTTTCTCCCTTGAATGAAATGCTTAGAAGTATGTTAGCCCCCAATTCCCTTTCCTTTACCATGATAGATAGTCCAGTTACTAAATAGAGCTAAATACTTTGCTGTGACTTTTAATACTCATTTGATTTTGAATAGAATCCCACAAAGAAGAGCACTTGTGTGCTCTGAATGTGCTTTCTGGTAGATCGCCTGAGCACGGGCGAAGCACCTGTTTGCCATCCTGGCCAGCCCTCCATCCTGATGGCGATTCTGGGGACATTCCCTGGTCGTTGTGAAGAGCTGGTCAGGGCAGATGCTCCCCTGTCCCTCCGGTTCTGATTCTAGCCCCACGTGAGCCCGGCCTTAACAAGGACTCACCCCCTTGGCCCAGCTGTCTGGAAAGGTCGCCTCTCTGGCTGCCAGACGAGGAGGTGTTTTTTAGGAGGAGGATTTGTGGCCACGAGCTCCCCCCACTGCCTTCTGCGGTAGCAGGGTCAGGAGCCAAGTCTAGAGGTAGTTTTCTCCTTAAAGATCAGACAGATTAAAAGTAAGCAACAAAGAAAGGAGCGCGCCGTGTCCCTGACGAGTATCTGTGATGTGACACACGGGCACTTGGGCAAAATGGGCACCTTCCTTTGAGGAGCTGAGGTGCAGGGCTGCCTTCAGCCAGAAGGGGCTCTGAGGAGGGCACTTGCCATGACCCTGGGGCGGCAGCTCTAGTTTGGAGCTGGGCACCAAGGCCGGTGCCTTTCACTCTGCCCTGAAGTTAGCTTGTTATAAATGGGCAGGTTGGGTCTCCAAACCAGCGAGGAAGCCAGCTTGAAAAATCGTCCTGGGAAAAGCAGGAATCATTTGTTCTCCGCTCAGAAAGTCGCTGTGCCCTGAGAGGACGGCAGCTCGCAGAGCCTCAGACCAGCGCCCTCGGGGTCGCCGCCCGGTGGCCGCAGGTCTCCCCTCCTCCCAGGCGTCTGCTCCCGGCCTGTCCTTCACCACTCACACTCGGGGCTCGGTTTCTGCTCACTGCTTCTCTAAAGATGACCTGGAGACAGCTCTGAAGAGCCTCCCGTTTCCACATTGCTGTGGGAGAGGCACAGCGGGGCCGGTCCGCACGGCCTGTGCTAACCCCCGTTTTCCATCCTGTTTTCTGGCCAACTGCCTTTGCGCTTCACACTCGTCACGACTGAAACACGTTCCAGCCGGGAGCAGAGGCAGTAGGCTGGTCATCTGCTCCACGGGGTCCCCAGGTCCCATCCTCGTGCCCCTGAGTCTGGCTCCCCGAGTCCTAACTGGGGGGGCCTCCTTCCACCCTTGGGCAGGTGGGCCCCCCCCCCGAGGATGTTCTTTGTAGGGTTGGAGCCCCGGGATCCATTTTACTTAGTTGTCTGTCCATTTTTTCCAAACAAGCTGTCTGTCCCCAAAAAAGGATCAAATGGAAAACTTCATAAATACTCCAAATGGGGGAAACAAGAAGTGGAATAAAAGTGATGTAGCTATTGACAGAAAACATGCTGTCATTTCTCCTCTGTAAATATATAGTATCCATTTTTAGAAACAGGCTATGCCTGAAGCTGAAGAAGAGCCCTCACGGCCTCCCCGGCTTTGGGACACTGTCGAGAGCTACCCCCAGTGATGTGCGGGTCCCCTTGGGGGGTGTGGGGCACGGCTGCAGGGCCAGGGAAACCTCTGAGAAGTAGGTATGGTTTCTAGTGCAGAAATGCAAAGTGATGCTTGGAGGGGTCCCCAGGGGCCGGGGTCCTGTGACTTGTTGGACAGATGCTTCTTCAGCATCCATCATCCCAATTCCCATGAGCTGATTTCTAAGCCATACCCAACCTCTTCCTATAAACCTTATTCAGATAATAATAACAACAACAACTAGCATTTGGAGATGCTTACTGTCCTCTGGGCACTGGGCTAGGACTTTACAAGGACCGACTCTTCCAGCCTTGGCAGCAGTCCTCAGTGGGGGGCAGTGTTGTCATCATCCCATTTTACAGATGAGGAAGCTGAAGCACAAAGGAAGGACTAGCTTTCCTGATGGCGCAGCTGAGAAATGACGGAGCTGAGACTCACACCCAGGTCCTTGGGCGCCAGAACCTGTCCCCTTGTTAGTATCCCTTTATTGTGGATTAAGAAAGGCCTAGAAAAACAACCAGGAGTACACTGTGAACTAATTAATTTTTATTGACACTGTTTGGAATTCGTAGAAGATTAAATGAATATAATTATGATGGGATTGCTTGACCTATAAAGTACAACAGATGGTGTTCGATCTAATCGTGGGTCCTTATAACTGAGAAGCATGGAAGTTCCCAAACCGACAGAAGCGGGGACCCTGTGAAGGTGGGGGTGAACCTGGAGTGACGTGGCCACAGCGAGGGGAGGCTGGCAGCCCCCAGAGGCTTCAAGAGGCAAGAAACAGACTCTCCCCTAAAGCCTGGGGTGGGGGGAGGGTCGAGTACAGCCCTGATGACATTTTGATTCCAACCCAATGATACCAGGTTCAGACTTCCGGCCCCCGGAGGGTGATTACCTCAGTTCTATTAAGTAGAGCTGTAATCATTCAAGGGCAGAGGAGGGAGAAAAGGAGGATTTAGTGTCTTATCCTCTGTATTGCATTAGTCTGAACCAGTACTTTCACACATTTTGACCTAGTACTCGTTTTCACTCTTAAAAGTTATTGAAGACCCTAAAGAGCTTATCATTATGTATAGTTTATCTACATATATGTACCATATTAGAAATTAAAACTGAGCAAATTGAAAATACTTATTAATTCATATAAAAATAAAAATGGTAAACCTGTTACATGTTGACATAAAAACCATAATTTTGTGAAAATGGCTATATTTTCCAAAACAAAACAATTAGTAGAGTGGCATTGTTTTACATTTTTGGAAAACTCCTTCCTTTCTGGCTTGGTAGCTAGAAGACTATTGGAATCTCTTACTTGCCTTGAATTCAGTCTGTTGCAATATGGTGTTTTGATTGAAATGTATGGAGAGAATCTGGGCTCACATGTAGTTTCAAAAGGAGGAATATTTTCACAGACTTTTGGATAATTGTAACTATTCTTCTTTGAGTCTTCATAAAAATTAAATGATAATTTTTAAAAGTTAGTTGTAATGTAGAATCTGAAAAGATATCAGTGAACTTTTGGAACCGTGCTACTGTAAAATCCATTGGTATATTTGGTACTTTGAATGGGTCTTTTTCACCCATGAAAGACTTTTATTTATTTGTTTATTTTAAATTGTGGTAAAATATACATAACATAAAATTTACCATCTTAACCATTTTTAAATGTACAGTTCAGTAGTTTTAAGTACATTCGCTTTGTTGTGTAATCACCACACCATCCATCTCCAGGGTTCTTTTCATCTTGCAAACCTGCAACTCTGCCCCCATTAAACAATAATTTCCCGTTCCCCTGCCCCCCATCCCAGGACAACCACCATTGTACTTTCTATTTCTAAACATTTGATTACTTTAGGTACCTTATGTAAGTGAATCATCCAGTATTTGTCCTTCTGTGGCTTATTTCACTGAGCATCATGTCCTCAAGGTCCATCCATGTTGTACAGATACTAGCATTACCGTCCTTTTTAAGGCTGAATAATATTCCATGGTATGGATGGACCACATCTTGCTTATCTATTTAATAATCTGCCAGTGAATGCCTGGATTGCTTGCCCCTTTTTGTTATTATGAATACTGCTGTGAACATGAGGGGACAAATACCTTTTGAGACTCTGCTTTCAATTCTTTTGGTCATATTATCAAAAGTGGAATTGCTGGATTGTATGGTAATTCTATTTTTAATTTTTTGAGGAACTGTTTTCCATAGCAGCTGTACCATCTTACATTCTTACCAAGCGTGTACAAGGGTTCCAATTTCTCTACATCCTCACCAACGCTTGTTAGCTTTTGTTTTTGATAACCGTATTAGTCAAGGCTCTCCATTCTCCAGAGAAAGAAAACCAATAGGATGTGTGTGTGTGTGTGTGTGTGTCCATACAAACACAAATATTTATTTATGTTTATGTTTGAATTTATACATACTTATTTTTATTTATTGTAAGGAATTTGCTCACATGATCTCGCAGTTTGCTAAATCCCCAGGTCTTCAGTCAGCAGGACTGAACTCCAGGAGAAGTGATGGCTTTACCCCAGTCCTAAGGCCAGCAGGATCCAGACCCAGGAAGAGCTGATGTTAAAGTCTGAGTCAGAAGTTAGGGAGATATTCTGTCTCAGCTCAAGGCCGTCAGGTCTATTTGGGCTGTCAACTCAACCGGGTGAGTTCCACTCACTTTAGGGAGGACAATCCTTTTGACTCAGCCTTCTATTCAAATGTTAATCTCACCAGAAACACCCTCACAGACACACCCAGAATCATGTTTGACCAAATGTCTGGGCGCCCCTGGACCATTCTAGCTGACACATAAAATTGTCATCTCAGTAGCCATTCTAGTGAGTGTGAGGTGATCGCTCACTGCGGTGTAGACGTGCCTTTCCCTAACGACTAGTGGACCATCTTTTCGTGTGCTTATTGGCCTTTTGTTTATCTTCTTAGGAAATGTCTATTCGAATCCTTTCCTCATTTTAAAATCGGGTCATTTGCTTTTTGTTGTTGAGCTGTAGGAGTCTTTGTATACTCTGGATGTTAACCTCTTATCAGATAGATGCTTCACAAATACTCTCTCCCATTCTGTGGGCTGCCTTTTCACTCCGTTGCTTGTGTCCTCTGACGCACAGAAATTTTTAACTAAAAATTTTTTTCTGTGATAAAAAAGTATAACATGAAATTTACCATCTTAACCATTTTTAAGTGTACATACAGTTCAGTAACATTAAGTATAATCACATTGTTGTGCAACCAATTTCCTGAACTTTTCACCTTGCAGAACTGAAACTCTGTACCCATTAAAAACCAGTTTCCCATTTGCTCCTCCCATAACCCATGGCAGCCACCATTCTACCGTCTGCCCCTGAATTTGATGGCTCGTATGGGTGGAATCATGCAGTGTTTGTCCTTTTGTGACTGGCTTATTTCACTGAGCATCATGTCCTCAAGGTTCCTCCATGTTGTAGCAGGTGTCATAGTTTCCTGACTTTTTAAGGCTGAACAATATTCCATTGTATGTATAGACCACATTTTGTTTATCTATTATCCATCAGTGGACACTTTGGTTGCTTCTGCCTCCTGACAGTTGAGAATAGTGTTGCAATGCACATGGGTGTACACATATCTGTTGGAGACCCTGCTCTCAATTCTTTTGGATGGATACCCAGAAGTGGAATTACTGGATCATAGGTTAATACTATTTTTCATCTAATGTAATTCCTTACTGTTTTTCACAGGGGCTGCACCATTTTACAACCCCACCACCAACAGAGCACGGGGGTTCCAGTTTCTCTACATCCTTGCCAATGCTTCTTTTCCTTTTTTTTTTTTAATAGTAACCATCTTAACAGGTGTGAAGTAATATCTCATTGTGGTTTTGATTTTCGTTGCTCTAATGATTAGTAATGTTGAACATCTTTTCATGTACTTTTTGGCTGTTTCTATATCTTCTTCTTTGCCCATTTTTTAATCAAGTTATTTGGTTTTTTGTTGTTGAGTTGCAGGAGTTTTTATCTTCATATTAACCCCTTCTCATTTATATGATTGTAAATATTTTCTCTCATACGTTTCCTTTTCGCTCGGTTGATGGTGTCTTTTGATGCACAGAAGTTTTTATTTTTTATATAGTCCAATTTGTCTATTTTTACTTTTGTGGCCTGTGGTTTTGGTATCGTGTTCAGGAAGTCCTTGCCAAACCAATGTCATGAAACTCTTCCCCTATGGTTTCTTCTAAGAGTTTTATAGCTTTAGGTCCTACATTTAGGTTTTTTTTTTTTTTGGCTGTACACGGGCCTCTCACTGTTGTGGCCTCTCCTGTTGCAGAGCACAGGCTCCAGACACGCAGGCTCAGCGACCATGGCTCACGGGCCCAGCTGCTCCACGGCATGTGGGATCTTCCCAGACCGGGGCATGAACCCGTGTCCCCTGCATCGGCAGGCGGACTCTCAACCACTGCGCCACCAGGGAAGCCCCATACATTTAGGTTTTTTATGGATTTTGAGTTAATTTTTGTATATGTATAAGGTAAGGGTCCAGCTTTTGCACGTGGATGTCCAGTTTTCCCAGCACTGTTTGTTGAAAAGACTCCTTTCCCCAGTTGAATGGTCTTGGTACCCTTGTGGAAGGTCAGTTGACCATGTATGTGAGGGTTTATTTCTGGGCTCTCTATTCTGTTTCATTGGTCTGTATGCCTGTCTTTATGTTACCCATTCATGATTTTGTAATATCATTATTGATCACTTTGAAAATTATGGTTCATGGAGTTTTTTACATTTTCCAAATGTTGACATGTTTCACTTACAATATCAAAGTATCAGTATCACCACCAAACTCATCAAAAAGTCTTAAGGCATTGGTAAGCTGCTCATGGGGGTAGATATAAGATTTCCTAAAGTCTGATTTTTACTAGGTAGCTCAAATTTGTATCATTGCCAATAAGACTGACAGCTGTTTGCCTTGTAGTGACAGGGTCACTGTTTTTGTTTCAAGGTAATTTCTGCCAGCTACCCATATCTGAATCTACGTATGGTATATAATTTCAGGTACTGATAAGGGCTGGAGTTGGGACTGGGGCCTGGGGAGGCTCCCTTGAGGAGCTGTGTTTGAGTGCAGTTCTGAATGAAGTGAAGGAGCGAATCACAGGAAGATCTGGAGGTGGAATGTTCCAGGCAGGGGAAACAGAGGGTAAAGGCAGGAATGGAACAGCAGGAAGACCCGTATGGCTATGGGATGAACAAGGGGAAGGGGGCGGAGGCGGATCTTACAGGTGTAGGAGCCAGGCTACAAGAGCTCCTGGCCACAGACAGGACTTTGGGGTTTATTCTGAATGAGACGGAGGCCCCTGAGGGTGTGAGCAGGGAGTGCTGTGACCGGCCTCTTAAGTGGTCTGCGCTGCGTATCGAATGACCACAGAGTCAGCAGCGGGAGACAACGCACATTCATCACGGCACGGTTTCCGTGGGGAGGGGTCTGGGCACGGCTCAGCTGGGTCCTGTGCCCGGGGTCTCCCAGGACGCAGTCAGGGTACCGCTGGGCTGGGCTCTCACCTGGAGGCTTCGGACGCCTCAGGCTGCTGGCGGGATCACCTCCTGGGCCTGTGGGATTCAAGGCCCCTCGCGCCTTCTGAGTCAGCACGGGTGCAGGGCTGCAGCGCAGACGGGCGGAGGTTACACACTGTGGTGGAGTCACTACACGGCCCCGCCCACACTTGGACAGGGTGAACGTGAACGTGGATGTCAGGAGGTGGCGGTCCAGGAAGCCAGAGCGAAGTCCATCCACCGCACCTGACATGTGCTCTGAAAGACCGTCTCAGGCTGAGGATGGAGAGGAGACTCCATCTATCTACAGGGCAGGGGTGGCGGGGCTTCAGTAGTCCGCAAGGCCTAGTGACAAAAGGCGGTCTTCGCTGGAAATTAGGAAATCATTCGGGATGTCTTTTCAACAAATATTTATTGAACCCACTATGTGAGGGGCATTGGACTGGCTTGGGGATTAAGTGAGGAAGTCAGATTTCTCATTTTTGAGAAAACATTGACTTGAGAGGGCAAAGGGCAAGTGTTAGTTGACGCTGGTTGAGGAGTACGTGGGAGGTGAGGATGTAGTGACAGCCACTTGGGGTGTCTGCATAGAGCTCGGAGAGCCCGCAGGGCAGAGGAGACAGGAAGGGGCTTGAGGGAGCCCAGAGTCAAGAGGGTGTTTTGTGTATGTATTTTCTTTTTGTGTGTTTTTCTTTCAGGCCGAAGGGTAGGAAGAGTGGAGAGAAAGAGATCGAAGGTACAACAGTGGGACATTCCTGAGGAGAAGGGTAAGGGCCACGAAGGGAATTACCTTAAAAAAGGAGGGAAGACGTCTTTTCTGAAACAGTCTCCATAGTTCTGCCTTTTCCAGAATGTCACAGAGCTGGAAAATACAGTACATAGCCTTTTCAGATTGGCTACTTTCACTCAGTAATACGCATTTGGGGTTTTTCAATGTCTTTTCGTGGCTTGATAGCTCACTACTTTTTACTGCTGAATAATATTCCATTGTCCGGATGAACCACAGTTTATTTATGCAGTCACCTGCTGAAGGGCATCTTGATTTTTGGCAAATTTTTGCAATTATGAGTAAAGCTGCTATAAACTTCCGTGTGCAAGTTTTTGTATGGACATAAGTTTTCAGCTTCTTTGGGTAAATACCAAGGATCATGGTTGGTGGATGGTACGGGAAGAGTATGAGGTGAGTGCAGTAGAATTAAGTTCCTTGAGAGTGAGACTGTGTTTTTGTTAAGGAAGCATGACCGCACCAGAAAGAAACAAAGGAGTTGAGGATATATGTGCAGATAAGTGACTCATCGCTGAGTTTAGGCTGAACAGGTTTAAAGGGAGGGCCTCACCTGAGAGGCCGGGTGCACGACTGGACGCACCTGGAGAGGGAAGCATGATTGCAGCTGCCCACTAGAGGGGCTGAGAGAGAAAGAGAAGATGGTGGGAGATAGAAGTTTTTAATGCTGTTAGAAACTGTATTTTCCTTAAGAATAGATTAATTCTGCAGGAAGGAGACCTTCAGCATATGCAACCGAGGATAATAAAAGGAAGGGGGAGCACAGTCAAGTCAAATAAAAAATTACTTGTTGATCGTCTGCTTTGTGCCCCGCTGTGTGCCCGCCTTTGGCGGGGGGACTTCCAGTTTATTTGGAGCCACCACGTTTTCTAAGACTTGCGAGTCAAGAACTAAGCCAGAGTGTTGTGCCTGTTAGAACCCCCGTGTACAGAGAGCAAGGACGGGGAGGACAGGCAACAGCGATGGGTGAGCGGCGGCGCTTCACGGGGCCGCTTCTCACACTTCTGCAGCCACCTTCCCCTCCACCTGCTGTGCTCACATCTTGTGAGTGTGTGTGTGTGTGTGTGTTTATCCCCCAAAACACAGGACCTGTGACCCTGACATTTCGAGGAACTTGCCAAGGCAATGAGGTGTCCAGTTTAAAATTCAAGTGTTCTGGGTATTTCAGGACATGTGACCAATGTTCAACACGTTCATTCCCATTTTGTCCCCCAAGGACACCCATTGTAAGTGGTGTCCTGGAGTTGTGACTACAGCGGCCCTGTGTTTCGTGAGACACTCGAGGGAACTTCTGAACCATCGGGTGGGCATCACAGGAAGCTTGCGTCCCCTATGCGGGCGAGCAGACCTCTGGGCCCCAGGTGAGGACAAGGTCACTGTTTCCCATAACATTGTGTTTTTTCAGGCTGTTTTCTGCTCAGATACTCCTGTGTCATTAATGTATGAGACCACAGAGCAAATGAACGCGGCCTTGTGTCTGACCCGACATCGAGGTGGGAGAGCTATAGCCGTCAGAGGAGACGCATTCATTTGTTCTGTCCGGGGTTGACCCGCCGGAAAAGGCCGTCCCTCTCTTTGTGTTCATTCCTTTTTCAGCTCGTCCTGTGTTTCTTATCAGTGTCTGCCAGCCTCGAGGATTAGTGGCCTGGAGTTCACCCTCACCGTCACCCTCTGCCTAAAGTATTTATCTAACCATTTTGTATTGATAGTTTATGCTGGATAGGCAGGGGACTGTTCCCTGCCCCCCGCCCCCAGAAGGATTTCCAAGGGGATGGGAGGAGACCTAGAAAAACACCAAAAAATTCTTTGACTTCTTCTTTGGACTTGGGTCACGCCTCAGGGCAGTGGGTTGGGTGGGGGCCGGGTGGGGGGGGGGATGGAGTGAGATGGAATGTAGACCAAGGCCTGGATCCAGATCTGAAATCACATATCTGGCTGTTCCTTTTATCTTTTCTTTGAGGCAAGACTTCACTTCTTTTCATGCCAACTCAGGCCAAACTTGTGGTCAGGTTCTGCCCATCAGGGGAGCTAGGATGAGGAGGAGGTGGCAGGCAGGTCCAGCTCCCACCAGGAAAGCCCCTTTCTCACGCCTCCTTGGCTTTCGCCTAGCACTCAACTTCTTCTAACCGGTGAAAACCGAAGCCGGTATTCAAAAGAAAAGCACACATTTGGTACGTTGATTGGTGAGGTTCCTTCGCATCGTGTTATTCCCGGGGCGTTTGTCGAGGCTCCCGCTGAAGCCCGGTTCTTGCCCAGATGTGTTTCTTGTGCAAAGATGGCTGCCCTGACCCAGACCTGCTTCCAGAACGTGTGTCTCATCCCTGCCCTTGGCGAGCCTGCAGGTCCTCTTCTGGAGCCTCCTTGCAACCAGTTCTCCAGATTCTGGCTCATTCATTTCAAAGGCTGTTTACCTTATTTACTGAAATTGCATAGTTGTTTAAAAAACAATTTGAGCTTGTATATGAGTTCTTTAAAGAGAGGGGCTTATGTCCTCTGCTAATTGAGATTTTGGCCTGTTCTTTAGATTTTGATACACTTACTTGGAAATTGATTTTAAAAATTTGTTGATAATACCATAAAGACCCTAGTAAATAGCATTAAATTTAACTTTTTACAAGAGATTTGTTGAAAAATTGTTTAAGGTTTCAAGGGCAATTTGTACTTATTAGGTATGTATCCTGTTGGCCTGATATAGGACAAAGTGCTGAGAATAAAAGATCCAAGGACAGGGCTTCCCTGGGGGCGCAGTGGTTGAGAGTCCGCCTGCCGATGCAGGGGACGCGGGTTCGTGCCCCGGTCCGGGAGGATCCCACGTGCCGCGGAGCGGCTGGGCCCGTGAGCCATGGCCGCTGAGCCTGCGCGTCCGGAGCCTGTGCTCCGCAACGGGAGAGGCCACAGCAGTGAGAGGCCCGCGTACCACTAAAAAAAAAAAAAGAAAAAGATCCAAGGACATAACCAGACTTCCACTCCTGGGCATACACCTCCAAAATGAGTACTATGTCCATCATGTGTGCAAGAATGTCCATGGCAGCATTTCTCTTCAAGCCACCACCTGGGTTCCAGATGTCAAACATCTGGTGACAGAAGAGTGTGGTGCAGCCGTTTAACCTACAGCAACGCGGTGGGGCTGGTCCCAGCTTCATGGCGCCACCTGGGGACCCGTGTTGAAGCGAAAGTGGGCATCTCCCAAGAGCACATGCTCTACGGCTCCACTTATACTAAGTTCAGAACAGGCATAACCCATCTATGGTGACAGAGGGCAGAAGAGTGCTGACCTCTGGGGTGTTGGCTGGGAAGGGCAGGGGTGGGCGTCTCTGGTCCTAGAAATGTGTCCATCTCGATCTGCTGGGGTTATACAGTGGGTGCACGTGTAAACACAGGCTGAGCCATACGGTAAGATGGGTGCATTTTCTACATGGAAATTATACCACAATTAAATAGCTTAAAAGCAAAAGATGGACAGTACAGAGTCCCTGACCTCAAGGAGCTAATAGTCTAGTAAGAGAGAAGAATGTGGAAGGGAATCATTCCCTGCCTTGTGCCGAGAGCTGCCCTAGAGGTTTGTAGGAGGAGCAGCAAAAGGGCACAGGAGGCACCACCATCACCCTGACACTGCTCTCCAGATCGCCAGATCCAGAGAATATTTCCCGGCTCGTCTACTTTTCGACCTCTCTGTGGCATTTGGCTTTGCCAGCTGCATTCATTGTCAGGAACCCTCTCTTGCTCACGTAGCCTCGTGGCAACACTCCCCACGGATCCCCTTCTCCCTCTCGCCGTTCTGGTTCTTTTCCTTTCCAGCTCCTTCCCCAGGTCTTGTCGCCGTGAAGGGTCTGTCCGTGGCTCTCTCTCTCACCCTGGTCTCCGGGCAACCTCGTCCATCCAGGCCCACGGTTTTGGCTGCCCTCCCCCTGTGTCGCTGACCCCTAATTTGGTGTCTCCAGCCCACATTTTCATCCCCACCTTCAGAGCTGTGTACGGATGTGCCAGCTGGACACCCCCCACTGGGTGTCCTGCAGAAGCTCACATGTAACATCCCCAAACTGCACTCTTCCTCTGCCTCTCCTCCCAGTCGCCCCCTCCTTCTGTTTTCCCTCATCCAGGAAATGGCCTCTGGGTGCAGCCCTGCCTTTTCTCCCAGGCTCGGTTAGAGGATCTCTGTCTGCGCGTCCATCTCCCTGGCACACACGGTTCACGCTCAGTCAAAGCTGCTGTGTACCCGCCTCCAGGAAGCCCACCTGGGTTAATGCTTGGTGGAGCCTGATTAGGCCTACCATGCTGTTTTTTTCTGACCAGACTTACCCTTGCTCCACAGCCTTCCTGCCTCCCCCCAGTGCTGTCTGATCGCGGATATCCTGGGTCCTGTGTTCCTTCTGTCAAGTGTCAGAACCGCAGTTACTGACTTGAGCAAAAGGAGGATGCGCTGAAAGAGCTGGATTAGACCTTGGCGTAACTGAGTCCCGGGACTTTGACTTGGTCTCTGCCCTTCACTGTGCTCTGGCCCTCAGACCCGCTCTCCTGCCTGCTGGCCTCACTTATAGGGGGCCACGGAAGGCTCTGATGCTCTGTGACACTGTGGTTGGTACTTCTCTCCATGCCTCTCCACTGCACCTCCCAGAGAGTCTCTCTGGCCTTACTTGGCCCATGAGCTCCCCTGGGCTGACCGCTGAACAGGCATGGAGGCTCCAGGGTCCAGACCAGTGCCCACGCCCACCTCGGGAGCTGGCCGCGGAGCTGCTGTCAGAGGAGGGAAGGAGCGCTGACAGCCCCCCACCAAGTCCCCTGCAGGGAGGGGCTGGCGGCCGCCCTGCATTGGCAGCAGCACCGTGAGCTGAGCCTCACCGGCCTCCCTCCCGGGCTGCAGTTCAGCCTCCGAGTCACCCCACCCATCACTGTCTCTCCCTCAGCCACGCAATTCCTAGGACGGGTCGTTGTCAGGGACACAGCAATCAAAGAGAGGGACCCTGTCAGCCTGTACTTTCAGTT